CGTGATCTTTACTTTTTATAAACTAATTGATCGGAGTAGTGAAGGATTTACAATGTATAAATACCTAATTCCGCTCATATGAGAACTAGCATTTAAAATTGTTACACAGCACCCTAATTAGGTGACAATAACTTTACAAATACTTAAATATCTTATATGAGTAACTACACGGTAATAACGTAGTAATTACACATTACAATTAAATTTAATCACAATTACTTTGCATTAAGAAATTCAAGATTTGTATAGAATATATAAATTTTGTATCGCTTCGGACATTAAACGAATTTTTAGGGTCGAAAGTTGTCATGAGCAAAAAGACTAAATTTGAGAAGTATTTGAAATCTGCAGAAGGTGGCAGTTTGAATGCGCAATGTATTCTTGGATTCTACTACCAAAATGGAGTAGGCACAGCCAAAGATGGACAAAAAGCATTTGAATGGTTTTTGAAATCAGCCGAAGGTGGCAATTTAAGAGGGAAAATCAGCCTTGGATATTGCTATCAGAATGGCATAGGCACAGTGAAGGATGAAAAAAAGGCATTTGAGTGGTTTTTAAAATCAGCTGAAGGTGGCAATTTAACCGCACAAAATAATCTTGGATCCTGTTACCAAAATGGAGTAGGCACAGCCAAAGATGGACAAAAAGCATTTGAATGGTATTTGAAATCCGCAAAAGGTGGCAATTTTAAGGGACAATATAATCTTGGAATATGCTATCAGTATGGTATAGGCACAACCAAGGATGGACATAAGGCATTTGAATGGTATTTGAAATCTGTTGAAGGCGGTGACTCGTATGCACAAATTAATCTTGGACATTGCTATCAGAATGGCATAGGTACAGCCAAAGACGAGCAAAGTGCATTTGAGTGGTATTTAAAATCAGCTGAAGGTGGCAATTTAAGAGGACAAAATAGCCTTGGACATTGCTATCGAAATGGCATAGGCACAGTGAAAGATGAAAAAAAGGCATTTGAGTGGTATTTGAAATCTGCTGAAGGTGACAATTCAACCGCACATAATGAACTTGGATTATGCTATCAGAATAGCATAGGCACAACCAAGGACGAACAAAAGACATTTGAATGGTATTTTAAATCTGTTGAAAGCGGTGATTCGTATGCACAATTTAAGCTTGGTCATTGCTATCAGAATGGCATAGGCACAGTCAAGGACGAGCAAAAGGCATTTGAATGGTATTTGAAATCTGCAGAGGGTGGCAATTTTAAGGGACAATATAATCTTGGATTTTGCTATCAGAATGGCATAGGTTCAACCAAGGACGAACAAAAAGCATTTGAATGGTATTTGAAATCTGTTGAAGGTGATGACTCGTACGCACAATTTAATCTTGGATATTGCTATCAGAATGGCATAGGTACATCCAAAGATGGACAAAAATCATTTGAATGGTATTTGAAATCAGCTGAAGGTGGCTATTTAAGAGGACAAAATAGCCTTGGACATTGCTATCAGAATGGCATAGGTACAGTGAAGGACGAAAAAAAGGCATTTGAGTGGTATTTGAAATCAGCTGAAGGTGACAATTCAACCGCACAATATAATCTTGGATTCTGCTATCAATATGGAGTAGGCACAGCCAAAAATGAACACAAAGCATTTGAATGGTATTTGAAATCCGCTGAAGGTGGCAACTTGAAGGGACAATTAAATCTCGGGTTTTGCTATGAAAATGGCATAGGCACAGCAAAGGATGAAAATAAAAGGGTAAAAGAAAGAATAAAATTTGTCAAAGAGGCTTTTTATCTCTCGCATCTATGATTTTAAGGGGTTCCACCAAGCTTATTCTCGCGATTGATAATGAGACAACTGGTTTCCATAGACTTTAACCTTGAGCACGTGTCCCGACATTGTCCTTAATTTGTACAACCTATAGGGTAGTACATTGTGAATATAGTAAGGACCGGTATTGTGGGGTTCTAATTTAGCACTATATGACGTCTATAGATCAAACCTATATAATAGGACCTGATCACTGATTTCATATGATTCTATCTTATTTCTTTGTTCATAATTTTGTTTTTGTTTAATTTGTATTTTCTTAATCTTTTCACCTGCTATTTGATGTGCTTCTATTAATTTTCCTAATAAAATTTATACCCGGCTATAAATTTGTTTTGTAACTCCTCTTCAGTTCTAGGTCGGGTTTGGTGGGTTATTAAGTTGGTTTCCATCGGAAGGACAGGTGATCGCCCATATAACAGGAAAAAGAGTTGATATCCAGTAGTATGATGCACAGTGGTACAATAAGAGAAAAGTGCAGGAGAGATATATTCATCCCATTCCTTGTCAAATTGATTAACACATTTATTTAAGACTTCACATAGAGTTTTATTGAAACGCTCGACCAAACCATTGGTTTGGGGATGGTATGCCATAGAGGTATGGTGAGTGGTGCTTAATCTCCTACAGAGAGCTGAGACAAGTTTATTACAGAAATGTGTACCACGATTAGACAACATTTCTTTCGGACTACCATGGCGACATATTAAATCTTCAAAGATAAAGGCGGCTACATTTTCGGCATCAGCAGATTTGAGAGCACGAGCTTCGGGCCATTTAGTAAGGTACTCGGTAGCAACTACGATGTACTTATTATTTCTTGACGTTATCGGCAACGGGCCTACTATGTCAATTCCAATACGATCAAAGGGTTTTCCGACCTTAATAGGGTATAATAGTTCACAGGTGTGGGGTTTCTTTTTCTTTTGACAAACATCACATGTTTTTATATAATCCTTAATGTCATTTCCCATTTGAGGCCAGAAATAACAGGTGGCTATTCTTTGATATGTGGTATAAAAGCCAAAATGCCTGGAAAGAGGGTCATCATGCATACTGAAAAGTATGGGCCCGGTTTCACCTTTTTTTAGAACTCGTAACGGACGTGTGGGAGAATGGTGATTATTTTTATATAATAATCCATCTAAGACTACATAATGCCGGGTCTTATATTTTAAGTCTTTAATTTCTTTAGGGGTTAAGCGGGAAGGTACTATAGTGTCTACAAGGTACTGAAGGTAAAGTAAATATAACTGGGGGTCCATGACCACTAACTTGGTCTAATTCGTGTCCAAAAAAAAAAAAATTAATGATTTAGTTTTATTTTTAAAAGAAGAAAACAGAATATAAATCTTAGGAAATTTGAGAATATTGATAATGCCAGGACACCATAACCTGAACTGAATTAGCGGATTTTTGAGAGAAGTATAAAAGTTCTGACAATTTTTATTTTTGTCGGGTTCTAAAAATTTAATATATTTTCTACTTTTCTTTTTCTTAATTATTTAGAATCACAAGTGTTTTATTGGCAGCGACCTATTAGATATGAGAAAGACTATCAGCATTAAGATAAAATCTTCCTAGTCGATGTACAGTTGTGAAGGAATATTCGGTAAGAGTCATTATCCAACAGGCCAAACGGTCTTGAAGTAATTTTACTTCAAACAAATATTTAAGGGCAGAATGATCCTTATACAAAATGAATTGACTTCTATGTAAGTATGGGCGAAAATAGCCAATGGCCCAAACTACAGCCAAATATTCTTTTTCAGTTACCAAATAGTTTTTCTTGGTGGAGGTAAGACTTCGACTTGCATATGATACAACTTGTTTATATTCTTTTTCGTTTTTCTGTAATAAAATAGCACCTAAAGCAATATCGGACGTGTCGGTAAAAAGAATAAAGGTCTTGTCAAAGTCAGGGTACGCTAAAACAGTTGCGGTAATTAGTTTCTCTTTTAAGGCTTCAAAAGCCTTTTGCTGTTCATCTTTCCACACGTAAGCCTTATTTTTCTTTAATAATTGATTAAGTGTAGCGGCAATTTTGAATGAATTTTCTATAATACGAGGTTAAACCAAAAAATCCTTGTAGTTGCTGCAAATTCCTAGGGACAGGAAAATTTTTTACAGCCTCTATTTTTTGTGAATCAGTGGCTATACCTTCTTTCTTAACGATGTAACCTAAAAATTTTAGTTGTCGATGACCAAAAAAACACTTAGAGGATTTTAGAGTAATACCGGCAAGTTTTAATCATTCAAAAACTATTTTTAGGTAGGCTAGGTGGTCTTCAAAGGATTTCGAATAAACATTAATATTGTCCAAATAGACGACAATGCACTCTCCTATCAAGTCTTGGAAAAGGTAATCTATGAGATGTTGAAAGGTAGCTGGGGCATTTGTTAGCCCAAAAGGCATAACATGGAACATATATACACCAAAAGAAGTGGTGAATGCCGTTTTAAGTTTATCTGAATTTTCTACTTCGACCTGTCAGTACCCACTGGCAAGGTCAAGTAAACTATACCAGAAAGATCTGTTTAAAGCATCCAAAAGGTCTTGAATATGGGGAAGGGGATAGTTGTCTTTTTGAGTTACCGAATTGAGCTTTCGGTAATTTATACAAAACCGGGTTTTACCATCGGGTTTAGGAACCAATACTAAGGGAGATGTCCATGGGGTCTGGCAAGGTTGGATTAAACCTTCTTTCAACATTTGGTTAATTTCAGTTTTAATTATTTTCTTTTCGGCTAGAGAATGCCGATATGGATTATGTTTAATAGGTAGGGCATTTCCAGTATTAATACTGTGTTTGATTAAATTGGTATGCCCTAATTTATAACCTTCCCAAGCAAATAGACTTGAATTTTTTTCCAAAAAATTCCTAAGTCGGTTAGTTTGCTCCTTATCAAGGGAACCTATATTGAAAGTATTTTTTCTTTGTACTTCTTCCCCAAAATAATAGTCGAAGATATCACTAATTGGACTAAGTTTTTCTTCTTTAAGCTCACTAGAGATATAACCACGAAGGTCTGGTTTAACTCTTTCTTCATAAAGATACGTGTTTCCGGCTAAGTCATATGAGCATTTAGCCGATGGAGACCTAAATTTTTCTCTTTTTAACTTATTTATTCTCTGGACTTTATCAATTAATTCGTCAGCATTTTCATTAAACTTGAATTCAGAAAATTTCTTTTTCACGCAGCTACGTACCACTCAAAACACGAATCGCTAGACTCATCCGAGTCTTCTTCAAGAAATATGACAGGAGGATTAGGAATGGCAATGAATGGAGATACTATTTTACTAAGGTTAGTATTAGTTAAAAATTGTTGTTGGTTTTTAAAAGGACTAGTAACATGAATGCTATTATTAAGTGAAGTTTTATTAGGAAAAGGTGAGGCATCGCTACTAGAGGTTATTGCTTCATAATAAACTAACGGAAGAGGATTATTTGAATTGGGTAATTGTAAAGATATTTCCTTACGAATATAATTTAGGGTAAGGGTTGTAAAATATCAATAAGGACCTTTTTCAGTAATATAGCTAGGGATGGAATAATTGAATTATTAGACTTAAATTCTAAATTATTTAAAGTATTAAAGGAACATCCTAATTGGACTTTAAGTTGAGACGTATAAAATCTTAATTCTTCAAAAGGGTTAACACTGAAGGAGTTCTAGATAAAGGTAAAATATTATCATCAATTTCTATGGGGGCTATATTTACAGGTTGGGTGTTACTACTGTTGGATTTTAATTCTTCTAAGGAAACGACATGGGTGGAATTTCAGATAAAGGTAGGATATCATTTTGAGAAGTAACCATATTTGAAAACAGCATACTATTAAAATCATTATTATTATTAATTTCTGGGGGCAAAGAAAGAGTTAACAGAATAGTAACTGGAGAAACAGGACGTGGCCCTTTACTTTTTAATGGTTCAAATGATTTAGGGTTAAAGGTATGACATGGGATTGGGTTACTAAGTATTTTAGACGAAGCATTAAGAGATCGACCCATAGCTATATTAATTAAAGTTATATTGTTACTATGAGCCTTAAGTGAATTATCTTGATAGGGACTTAAAGACTCTAAAGATTCTGATGAATCTGAAAGGTAATTGCCTCCCTCTAATCCAGAAATATTATAAACACTTACTTCTAATTCTTCATCTTCATATTCATCGTCACTTAAATCTTCATCTAATCCTTCTTCTTTTTTCTCGTTTAGACTCTTTACTTTATTGGGGCGATTTTTGCTCAAAGGTTCGGGTAGTAACCTTTTGAACTCTACAGGGACGATTATTTTCTGGTTACCCAAGGGTCATTTCAGCAGTAGTCCAGTCAATTTTGGCTTAGACCTTAGAAAGCCAATCATTTTCAACAGTAGCATGATAGGAGCTTGTGTCTGTAACAACTACATCGATGGGTATTTCAAACCCAGCAACAGTAAAAGAAAAATTAGAGATTTCACCGAGAGCCCGCTTACTTTCGCCATGGACGTTAATCATATTAATAGTGGATGGCCTTTCAACCTTAATGCCAGGGTCATACAATAGGTGAGAAGTAACAATGCTACCAGAGGACCCACTATCCACAATTATGTGAACTTCTACTCCAATGACAGTAGCATCGCAATATAAAGCAGTTGATTTGATATTAGGAACTATACTAATATTAGTTTTTACTTTTCTTTTAAGGACAGTCTTCTTTTTGTGAAGGCTTCGGATTAATTCGGTTCTCATAGTAGGAATAGCATGAAGAAGCTGTCCTATTGTAATGTTGGCCGGTTTATCATGTAGGTTGGTAATAATTGAATATAGGGAACTAAAGAAATCTGTAGCATTTCATCTTCAGGGACCTTCCGCCTAATTACCAAAACATTTTTGGGTTTTACTGGTGGGACTTTGGGAGAATTAACCATATCTTTTTCTTTATTATTTTTTTCTTTATTTAATTTCTCTTTATCTGTTTTATCTTTTTCTTCTTTTTTCTTATCCTTTTCTTTCTCTTTTTCCAACAACCACTCTAATGGTTCTTCTACGCCCGATTCTAGGTCACCTTCCTCCTATCAAAAACACTTTGTAGGTTGAGATTTTACCGTAAAAAAGGTATGTCTTCTTCGAAAAGGTTAAGAAAAGTAGTTTGGTTATTGGTTGGGGCTTGACCATCTGAATTATTTTGAGATGGTGAAGAATTTAAGCTAGCCGCCATGGCTAGTAGAGCTTGCAACGCTTCTTGGGGCTGGAATTCCGGGGCACCACTCACATTGGTGTTAACATTATTATTAGGGATAAGATTAGGACCAGTAGGTACAGGGGTATGTTGAGGATTTAGATTAGCATGGGGTATACTACGGGAACAAGAGTTGGTCCAGGATTATATGTTTGGTTTAATGGGGTATAATTTTGAGGCATATTAGATGGAGGGTTGGGCACAGTAGATGAACGGCAATTTCTACTTATATGTCCCGCCCTACTACACTTATAACAAACTACTCTATTATAATTTTCTGAGGTAGGTGTATGTCACTTTTGGAGTTGGGTTAACATTTTATTAACTGCTTCTGTTAGTTTATTTAAAGCAGTTTCGGAAGTGACAGGTGGAGAAGAAAAGCCAGTTGGGTGCTCATAGTTACATGGGTTAAATATAAAGCACTAATAGGAGCTGGTAAATATGAAAGATTTTGTTTACAGGTGCTCTCATAAGCTTTGGCTTGATCGTAGGCTGCCTGCAATGTATTTGGAGTAAATAGAGCGACAGCTAATACAATGTTGGGTCATAGACCATTGAGGAAAAGTTGGGCTTTAGCCATTTCTGGGTATAGCTGAGCTCCTGTTTCAATTCATCGAAGCAATTCTTGAATTGCTGCGTGATAGGTATCTACGTCCTCGCTAGCTTGCTGCTTACAGGTAGCTAATTCGGCAAACTATTTGCCTTCCAGGACCAGGGTGCGGAATTGGATGATAAAATGGGGCGAAAACTCGTGTTTGTGTGGGCAGGATCATTCCAGGCATTGATAGGGTTTGGTGGTCACTGGGTAGTTGCCTACCATGTTGCTGCTGCACCCTTTAGATGGGGAACAATTACCAGAATTTGTCGGTCATTAGTTACTAGATTAGTGGCAAAAGCCTTTTTGACCTCGTTGAGCCAAGTCATAGAGTTCTGGTCTCCACCCATAAAATCGGGATATGCAACCAGACTTAATTCTCTATTAGGAGGATTGTAATTAACCTGTGGGGCCAGAGCTACTTGTATTTGTTGAATTAATAGCCCAATCTGTGTGGCTAAATTGTCAACAGGATTCAATGGTTGCGGCTGTTGCAGTGGTTGTGATTGCTAAGGCGGTTGGGGTGGCTGCGGCGGATTGGGAGGCTGAATTGGGTTCGGCTACTGCGACGGGGGTGCCGAATTACCTAAATTGGGTCGAGCTGGGTTTACTGGCGGACATTGAGCTATTATATTTTACGATAAGTTTGTAATTTTCGTATTTTTCTGTGTAGAACATTAACTCTAACCAATACGCTAACTTAATTTAAAAGGGAATATTTTGTTTACTCCACACAATCGGCACCAAATGTAATGGTTGTATTTGGGAGAGCGAGGCGATTATAGACAAATAGTGCCAATCTGAAACTCCAACCACGTATGGAATTGGGGTTTATATAAATAAAGGAAAACTATAAATCTGACTTAAACTAATCACTCTGAGAACAAGAATGAACTTAATATGATTTACACACTGATAATAACTAAAAATGCATACATGAAAGAAAGAAAGAAGTATGAATTAAAATAATTTAGAAATAATATTATGAAAAAGTAATACTTCTTTAGGCGAGTGGAAAGTGTATGATTAATTGATAATGATAAAAATGATAGAACTTTACAAGTAATTAACTTGAAGGGTGAGAATGAATATATTCGTGATCACGAAATAATATCAATGGAATTTGATATCTAAAGTGATACTATGATCCAAAGTTGATATATGGATACTTTATACTATAAATTATATTTTATTTTAGTTGTTTATAAAATCAGCTAATGCTGGTAATGCCAAAGGAGGTGGGAGTAAAATACTTTTCACATTTCAAATTAATTCTTTTCTAGAACGAAAGACTTTCTAAACAAAAATCACGTAACCAAGTTCCAAAGATGCAAGAGGTCATTTCACAAAATTCTGAGTCTTAATAGAATGATGTGAATTTAAAGTCAATTCAGTCTGTTGAATTGAGTCTCACAGGGTTTTATTAAAGTTACAAGTCAAAATTTACAAGAGATAAGTATTTACGTTATTATTTAATGTCATTAAAGGCAAAGGTGGAACTTGTCCTGCTTTATTAATTTTCAGAGAACTTATATACATTTTAATTTTTCAGAGCATTTACTTTCTTTCGAAAGCGAATTCATACTATTTAGAACGTGCATATTCTTTTCCAAATGAATACATTCTAATTTGCGCAACTACGCTTTTGGCGCAGGATCTACATATTTGTGTAAGCACGTATACACGCTATTTAGAGCATTTACGCATTTACATGAGATAAACCTCCAAGCCACAATCAATTTCCCATTTAGTATAATTAATTGAATACTTCCATTATAACTATACTATGTGGTTACTGTTATCAAAATGGAATTACTGGGAATAAATAAATCTATATACAAGAAAATGACTAACTAAATAAAACTAAAACAATAAAAGGAAGAAAATAAAAATAAATAAAATATAAATAAATAATTAAAAAAAATAAACTATGAAAAATTATTCGTTACAGTGTCCTCCACTACGCTTCTGACAATAAAAAAGGTTTTGACTAGGCCTGACAATTTTTTTGTATCAATATTCATAAATTTATAATAAATATTACTTTTGTTATATAAAAATATACACATTTATAAGCATCAGGGTAGCTGCGCAGCATGTAACTAGGCGACTGAACCTAGGTGCCGCACAAAAAATGCGCAGCAGATCCTCGATTTTGATTGGCCAAAGAAAATTAAGCCAGATCACTCATAATTTTACCAATGAAATCGCAGCTGCCCTTTAAGTGAAAATTGTTCCTGGGTCAATTTTACTATAATGTGTGCTTATTTTTTATAAATTTCTATTTTTGTAATGAAAAAATTAAAAAGTTAACTCCGGCCGGAATTTAGTAAACAATTTTGTAATGCGGACCAAAATTTCGAAGATCTTCAGCCGTTAGCCAATCAAAATTGAGGATCTGCTGCGCTTTTTTTGTGCAGCACCTAGGTTCAATTGACACGGCACAGGACTACACGATCACCCATCAAGTTGTTCATGTAAAATAATAATTGTCAAAATTCTGTTAAGTTTACCCATTTAACGGTTTAACTTTTACTCATAACATAAAAAAAGGCATTGGCTCATTTATTTAGCACAAATAAAAATAAATTTATCAAAGTCGGACCATTAGCTAGAGTGCTTCAATTAGAACATGCTTGCTCAATTAGGTGACTATTAACACTGGAGAAAACAAGATTTGTTATAAATCACAAGATTTGATATATACAGTCAAACCTCTCTATAATCACACACTTGGGATACAAAAAAATATGATTAAAAAGAAGTGTGACAATTATTGAGGTTAAATTTATTATAGTTACCGTATATTACCAAAAATAAGCAACCCCCAATTTTGAAAATCAAAAATAAGAAAAAAAAATTTTTTTTCTAAGCTTTGGACCCAAAAATAAGCTATCACCTCTATTTTACCTAAAAAAATTTGGTTGCTTATTTTCATTAATATATGGTAATAATAATTTGTTTTTAAAAAACGCAATTATAAAGAAAAAGTGCATATATAGGAGGTGACTATAGAGAGGCTTGACTGCAATTGCATTTTTTAAAAACAAATAATTATTAACTATAATAAATTTGACTTCTATAATTGTCACACTTCTTTTTAATCACATTTTTTTGTATTCCAAGTGTGTAATTATAGAGAGGTTTCACTGTAATTGCATTTTTTAAAAACAATTTATTATTAACTATAA